CACAACTGTGTATTTTTAAGCCACATCATAGAAATGACTTTGAATGACTTACTTCTTTGCTTGATCTCCAAAATTGCAATCCTCTTTTAATTTCCATGATTTGTTCATTCATTCATCAGGCCTTTATTAAGTATATCTTGCCAAGTTCTGGGAAACTCAAAATTATATCCTGAAATGGGGAGCTACTGGATGATTTAAAGAAGCACAGTGTCATGATAAAATTTCCTTTTTAGAATGCTCTATGTCCTCTATGGAAGTACTCTATGGAAGAATTAAAAGAGAATGGGAGGGTAGCTAGGAGGCTTACAGAAGCAATTAATGTGAGAAAAGATGTGAGACCTGGATCATGGACTGAATTGAAATCCTAACTTCCAGTACCTTACACGTGTCTATATTTGGAGATAAGGATAATTAAGGTAATCAGAGGTCTTATGGATAGGCCTAAAGCAGTATGGCAAATGTCTTTACAATGTAGATATCCAGATGTTCATGCAGATATTCTATGTGAAGATAAGAGGGAGTGAGAGACATCTACGACCAAATAGAAAGGCCTAAAAGAGATGATGCTGCTGACATTCTGAGCTCAGACTTCTAGCCTTCAGAATTGTGAGAAAATAGATTTTTGTTATTTAAGCCACTGTGTCTGTCATATATGTTAGGAAAGCCCTAGCAAACTAAATTAGTCTGAACAAGGCCACTACAGAAGAGCATAAGCGCCTTCATCTAGTACTAGCTCACCACCGGTTATTACATCTGCATGGACTTGCATGCCTTAGAAACTGAAATTTTAAACTTGGAAAGGGAGGATAAGCTCAGAAATAGCAATATAAGGAAAGACGCTTATTCATTCCAGTGCTGGTTAGTGCTCCCATGAACTAGTAGATGACAGTAAAATGTGTTCTTATGCTTCTTTCCATTATTGGGGGTCAGGGGGAAGGATATGAGTTTGTTATTTGCACAATTGCCACAGGCTTTCTGGCTCCTTCCAGTGACCATTCTTTCGAGGCATCTGAGGGGGAAGTTTGATCTTCTTCAGCCCTTATGCTGTAAATGGTGGGCTTTTCTACTGGTCTTGCTGTGCCTTTGTCTTTTTGAGTTGTGGAGGGCATTGTTCTCTGAGATGGTTCAAGAAAGGGAATAGAAATTTCAGCTCTGCTTCATGAAATGCATCTCCTGGGGAAAGGGTCAAGAAGGGGAATAATGTGTTTTGAATTCTGGTCGCTGCCATTTGTCCTACATTTGGGCGTGAATCTGCCTTCAACTTGGTGTGTTCTGCTTTAGCGAATGAATTTTGAAATACAGATATTACTTTTAAAAATTTGTTTTCTCATTGATTATTTATCTTAGATGCAATATCCTTGCAATTCTTGTTGAATAAGATTGAAATTTATTTAAAATTTACCTTCTGTTTTATTAACTTTCTCTGATACTGTTAGTCAAGTTTGGTACTTTTCTTTCATAGTGTTAGTTTTCCCCCTCCCCTCCACACACCTTTGGTGATTTTGACTGCTTATTTTTTTTTTTTTAAAGATTTTTTTTTGTGCATACAGAACTGGGGTACAGGCCAGAGGCTCAGGGGCGGCGAGAGGCTTCACCAGAGACAGAGCAGGGAGCAGAACAGGCAGATCAACGAAGTACACTGCTGAGGGGAGCAGCGGGCGGGTCAGGAGAGGTCTGCCACGCCATGTGGTCACCTCCGGGGCAGGCGGGAATCGAACTCATGCGGAACTGGCTTAAGCTTCTTAGTGCTGTGCTTTAACCTGCTGCGCCACCAGGGAGGGCCTTGACTGCTTATTTTTTTATTTGAGAATGTACTTGCCTGCTTATTTTGTTTATCATAGCTCCTCCTCACACTCTGTGAAGGAAAAGTGTGATAAGCCATCTAGAAAGAGTGCAGGTTCCCTATCTATTCTGAGTGTCAGTAGCTAATTGGCCTCTGTCTCTCTGGCCCCAGGATCCCCACTAACTGCTATCTCGCAGGCAAACACTTGTTACTTAAAGTCAGGCACCTCATTGAATTATTCTGGCCCCCACCCCCTTGTATTTGTTGGCTCTTATTTGGAACTTCACCAAACTCTTCCTTCCCCTGAACCTATTTTGGTTTCCTCTGATTTTGTGCCTCTCTAGATCAAATCCTACTTCTCTCTTGTGTATTTCAGCATTTCTTAAAAATTTTCTGAAACTGATCACCCTTTTTTCTCCTCTCTGTGCTGTTAGATTCTTGCTCTTTTTCATGCTTTTATAAAAAATAGGATTTGGGATAAATAGATGGTAAGTGCATATGCTCAATCCACCATTTTGATCTGTCCTACTATTTTTTTTTTATCATCTTTACTGATTTTAAAATAATACAAACTCAGTATGAAAAACTCAGACTACATAGTAATAGAAAGTGAAAATTCTCTCATGTGCCCGCTTCCTCAGTCTCACACTTACACCCTTTTGGACTTGTCTATTGATTTTAGCTGGAGCTAAGTAGACATTTCTGTGAGGGCTCCCCTTCACTTCCTAACAAATGGGAGCCCACTTCCTAGCTGACAGCATCTAGTCCCAAAGACATGCTTTCCCTTCTGGTCCTGCAGATTACCTGTTGGGAGTTTGCTGTGCAGTTTGGATTTGGATGTGTGAGATGTCAACATCAGTTGGGACCCAAAGAGGGTTGTCCCTTGATCAGTCAACATGAGGTCAATCCCCACCTTCAGACAATTCAGATAGGCATTCTGCATTCTTCTCATGTGATCCCTGCAGAATTGATCCTTTTTAGCCACAACAATAGCCTCAGTTTTGAACCTCTGTATCACTTTTTCTTTCTTCACTGTTTTATTCTTTCCAGTTTCTCATTTCCACTACATGAGATCTGCCATTCCCGCCCCCCACCCTTTATTTGGCAATGCCCCTTTCCTCTGTACTTCTGTGCTTCCTCCTCCCTCAGTTCTGATTTATCATTTCATTGTAACCCTGTTAGGTCTAAAGCATTTGAGGATGCTGTCAGGATAACAGGCTCTGTAGCAAATGAGGTTGTATTGAATTATTTAGCTTTCAGCTAAAGTGGAGATAACTAAAGCAGCTGAGCTGGTTTGTAAAATTCTGCAGTCATCCATCCACTGATTTGGTGCTTTTATAATACTATCTTCTTGTGGTTGAAAATTATAAATTTTAAGGCAACAAAGAGAAATAGGTATGCAACTTTTCATTTCAGAGCCACAAACCTATAGCTGAGAATGATCTATTTCCTTTGGTATATAATCATTTAGCTGCACAGCTGCTTGTCTAGGGAATCATGAATTTGTTTAATAAGTTTATATGTGGTTTTGAAAAAAATACATAACTTGCCCCATTTTCCTTGCAAAATTAGTCAAGGATTTCCACTTCAGTTATATGATAGTCTCTGCTTTTGAAGTTATTCTTTTCCTGAGTTTTTCTTGCCACAATTGGATTCTTAAATTATTTTTATTTAAAAAGACCTTTCTGTTTCTACCAATAGTAGTACATCAATTTTGATTCTTGTCAGAAGCAAGTGTGTGGAATCACTACTAATCTAATGGATGACAGTGAATATTCTTAGATCATCTTCCCTATATTACCAGTCTCTTGGGAAATTGAGCCCTTACAAGGGTCTCCACGACAGGGGTGAGGGGATGGAGTGTTCTGTGGTTCTTTCTTAGCTGTGGCGTTTGCTGCACTAACCACAACTTGGTGTTTAAATGCTCTCCCAAGAATCATGGCTGTAGCAGGAAGGGAAATAGCTTTGCATGTGTTCAATATATACATTAAGCAGGCACATCTGGCAATTAAACACCCTTTTGCTGGTGAATCCTGGGAAACAGCATAATTATACTCCCAAGGAAATAACTCAGGAGTAAGAATGTTCCGTTGTAAAGAAAGCATAAAAGTTAAAACTCTCTCCTGCATCCCAGATGTGTTTCATTCTCCACTGCCATCTCCATACCTGAGATTACCTGGCCTGATCATTAGTGAGCAACTGTCCCAGGTGTGGCTGGTAAAGAAGAGCTACCCCTAGGGTACCACCAAGTCTTACTGAACAATGACCTTGTAGCTTAAAAAAGAAAACGGTCTACCTTGCAAACCGTCTGTGTTCTGTGAGTCTCTCCCGAGGTGACTCGGAGGTGCCTTGTCTTTTCCTCTTTGGCATTACTGGTTTCTAGTGTTTTCTCTGGCCTACTGCATCTCACCCCACCTTAAGTGAAGAAGCCCCAGCTCACCCGGGCCGGCCAGGAGGTGCAGCGGGTGGGGTGTGACAGCATGCCTGTTGATTACTGTCCCCGCGAAGTGTTAGCGTCGTGGGGCTGCAGGCAGGACACCGCCAACATTTCCGGGGTCGGCGAGGACTATACCAGGTTTGCAGGCAGAAACGACCACACCTAGTTCGCTGGTTGCGAGCTAGAGGCCTCCAGCCCAGTGCCCACCCCTGCCGTTTCCAGCGTCTGCTTTTAGCGCCAGTGAGAGAAGCCCGCCCCGGAGCGCGCTAACATACCAGCCCCGGGAGCAATCTATACCTTCCAAAACCACCGCAGCGGGGGCGCACTGCGCCGACGCTGCCTTAACCTACGGCCTAAGATTGTCTTTTAATATATTTTTTAAAACCTGACAGTATACAGTGGGGACGCAGGGCGGGAGAGGCTGGAGGATTTTTTTTTTCATGGCCAGCCTCGCGGCCCCGGGCACACAAATTAGGCCCGAAATGCAGAGTCAAACCCTTTTCCCGCTGCAAGGGGCTCTGCCTAGCTGGCTGTTTGGGGAGGTGAGCGACTACCGGGGCGCTGCGGGCGGCTTGGGCTTTTGGTGTCCCGGGGCCAGGCTGGCAGCCCCGAGGCGGATGCGGGCCGCCGGAGCCCGACGGAGGCAAGGCAGGTGCCCCCGGCTCGGAGGCTGATTGGCAGGTGCGGGAGTGGGTGGGGAAGGCGGGGGCTGGGCCTGGCGCTGCGGGAGGCTGCGGCCCCGCCTCCCGCCCCCGCCGCGGGACTATCTGGTCCCGGCAGCAGCGATGTCCCCCGGCAGGAATGTCCCTCCTCAGATAATGTTATTTATATCTCTGGGCGGGTCCGCGGCTCGGCAGCACCAGGCGCCCAGCGGCCGCTGTGCCAGGAGCCCCGCGCTGCCCTCCTCCCCCTGCGCCGCCGCCGCTGCCGCCCCCGGGCTTGGGGTGGCCGCTGCTACAATCCCAGCCCAGGTGAGTCCCGGGAGGGCTGGGCGGCCCGAGGGGGCTGGGTGCAAATGCGCAAGACTGGGGCGCGCGGCGCGAGCGCAGAGGCGGCGCTGGGCCCAAGGGGTGCGTGACGTGCAGGACCCCGGGGACCAGGTGGGGGCCCAGCCCCGGGTGCTGGGCTTGTAGGGGTGGGCGTGGGGCGCAGAGGCCCTAGCTGCTGGGGCGATAACCCCCCGGCGCGGGAATCCGCGTGGGCTTCGGAGGCTCTTGGCTAGCCGGACGCTAGCTTTGGAGAGCCGAACCCTGGAGTGTCGCCCGGGGGCGCTGGAAAGGGGGTGAGCGAGAGTGCGTTCTAGTCCCGGGCCGCCTCCTTCAGGACTTCAGCGTGAGGGCAAAGGGGGGTTTTGCTCTTAGCCTGTCGGACCTCGGCGTTGCTCTCTAGCTCTGGCTGCTGGGTTTCTCAGCTCTAGGGCTGCTCAGATTCTCTTCTGGGAACTTAACTGTGCACTCTCCGGACAGCCCAGCGCCCAGGCAAGAAGGGCAGCAGAGGGGGGCTGGCACTGGGCGCTAGAAACGACGGGGAAAGAATGGCTTGTTGTAGACCCAAAAAGGAAAGACAGAACGTCGGAAGCCATGCTCCAGGGACCCTCCCTCTCTCATTGAGTTCAGCGCCTCCAAGCTGCTACGGTTCAGTCTACTCTCACCCGCCTTATTGTACCTCTTTCCTCCGACAAGTTGGCCTTGAGAAATAACAGAAAATGGGGAAAATAACAAGAGACTTAAACAATCTCCAACTCCCACCAACTTACCCAGACTTTCTAGGGTGGGGAAGTAGCTGAGGGCTTGGGTACGGTCTCCGTGACAACGAGCCCCAGGTAGGGCCCTGATTTGTAGCCTATTAATATCCAAACCACTGTTTTCAATGAGCTGTTAGAGGAGCCAGGAGTTAATAATAAAACGCTTAACTCGCTGAAGGAAAATGAAAGAACCACTGTTATTTTGGTAAATTTCAGATGTATCAGATGGGGGTAGGGGCGTTTATGACGGTATGTTTCAACTGAGACTGCCTGTGAGAGATGCTAGACTCACCTCCAGGTAGGAGGCAGCCAAGCAAAATCCAGAGCTCAGAGGTAGTCACTATACCTCAGTTTCTTAAGGAAAATGACTCAGGTTGCCCTGATTGAGAGGAGCGTTCAAATCAAAATTCTTAGGTACATTTGTTGTTCCACTAACCCATCTTTAACTTTGTAAATGGTTCCAAATTTTATTCTGACATTCCCTCATTGACCACTTTCCTACCCTGTGACCCAGGCAGGTCATTTCCTATTCCAGGGTCAAAGACTTCTACTAGGAGCCCTGGGTTCCTCATGCTTTGAAAACTCTTATTTATATGTGTAAAATAATTGTTGAGTGCCCAGCACCCAACACACCTAGATTTGCACTTGCCTGGAGGTTGTGGGCTAGGGAGGAAAAGGAATAATAGGTTCACACTGAAGAGGAGAAACCAGATTCCTCAGGGTTGGGTCATTTATGCAGAGCCTAACAAGCATAAAGCACAGCTAAAGGCCATAAATCCTAAATTATGAAAAGATAGCCTTTAACCCCCTAGCTGTTGCTCTTAGCTTCATCAGTGGATCAGTCACAATAATTGGGGATGAGCCAGACCTGTTAATCCCGAGTTCTCAGAAGACCGAGTCTGCTTGGAATTGAAAGCACCTGAAAACTCTTAAGCATCCAGGATTGCCCAGTTGAACAGACATATCAAGTTTTCTAGAGTGGCTTGCCTGGCAGAGAGCTCGGATGCCACCTTCTGCTCAGGTCACTGCTTTGTCTATGCTCTGAAGGTGTCCTCTAGTTGTATACCTGCTAGTGATTAGCTTTGGGGTAGGTAAAGGTGTGGCAGGAGGCAGACTCCCATCCAGAATCATATCTGACAAAGTGACAGTTGTAAGCAAACAAGGTATTAATGAAAGTTTTGAACTAAAGTCAAATTTTGACTGGAAACACTTTTTTTGGTTATTAAAAAAAAAAGTTTGTTTTTTTTCCTTATTTGTACCAGAGCCTAGCTGGGTGCTTGTCCCATTTATCTTTGTTGAGTGAATAAATGAATATTCAGGGATTTTTTTATATTACTCTACTTAATTATTAATTCAAATTAACTCTGTAAAATAGTTAATATTAACAGCAGTCTGATACAAGTGAATATTTGTGGGTTCAAGATGAAATATTTTGCCTCATATCACACAACTGATGAGAAGTGGAGTCAGGAGTCAATTCAGGTGTTAGAGTCCACTGTCTTTTAGGACTAGACGTTGGAGACTATAGTACAATTTGGAAAATTTGGTTATAGGATTGTCTGTTAGTTTCACTATCTTTTACTCTCAAGACCACTGGTAATAATTCTGCTTATAACTGAGAAGCTTTAAAATTATTGCTTAAAGATAGTATTGGACACACTTGCTTGGCGGTTTTTAGTCTTGTCCATTATGTTCAGGTCATTGTTTCAAGGACAGAGCTGGAATTTTGGCAGTAGTCAAAGCATGGATTTTTTTGAAAAGAGATTTTCCTTTGGGCCCTGGAAGTGGCCAGGAGTGCTTGATGATACATGGGGACAGTGTGATAGGACAGAAGATGACTATTAAAATTGCATGAGACTAAAGCTGTGTGTGGGAAGGGACCTTGGAGGTCACTAAGCCTTGTCCTCTGTGTAGAAACTTGCTTAAAGGTGAGACCTACCCGTAATTTACCTAGTCCTTTATGTGCAGCTATGGTATTTGCCATCCATACTTCTTATTCTTTCCATGTCTTTCATGTCTCTTTCTCATGACCAATATTGGGTTTATTTCCTGAAAGTCTACCTAACAAAACCACTGGTATGTTTTTCCTTTGGAGAAATTGTGAACATATTTTAATATCCAATACTTTCATCTTAATGGAAACTTAATACAAAGAAAGAGAAGGCATTAGAAGTAGGAAGAAAAGAACATAGTAGTCAACATTAAAAATTAAGCTGTTTCCATCATCTCCCCATTGCTTGTTAGCTGTACAGATGTACAACATTTTAACACAGTAGGAAAGTGTATTCTAGCCTAAGAAAATACAAATCTTTAGAAAAATAATTATGTAGCATATCTGGGGCAATGGGAAACAGAAGGAATTATTGGGATTATCAGATACATGTTTTAATCTAAACTCAATCATCAAGTTGCTCTTGAAGTACGCTTCAAGTTTCAAAATCCAATACAAAATTTTTGTTTATTGATGACTGAAAAATAGGAAACATTTAAGCAGGAGGCCTAAAGTGATACCAAATACATTTCTTCATTATCTGTGATTTCTTTTTTTTATAACCTCAGACCTGCAGATTAACATTTGTCAATTGATTTAGGAGGACTAAGAAGGAAAATAACTGTGCTGTGTGTACTGACAAGAAATTTGGTTCTTAATGAGGACTGGTAGGGAAGTTCATGGATCCTGGTTTCTGAAATAATAGATCTTACTAGTCAAAAATGACTGTGCAAAAAGTATTTTATCTTAAAAGTAGTTTGATTTTCACAGGTAGCTCTTTGGTTACTTCTCTATTTTATTTTTTAATTTATTTTTTAAAGATTTATTCATTTATTCATACAGAACTGGGGTAAGGCCAGAGATGAGGAGGGTGAGAGGATTCACCAGAGACAGAGCGGGGAGCAGAACAGGCAGATCAACGAAGTACACTGCTGAGAGGAGCAGCGGGCGGGTCAGGAGAGGTCTGCCACGCCATGTGGTCTCCTCGGGGCAGGCGGGGATCGAACTCAGGAGGAAGTGGGTTTAGCTTCTCAGTGCTGTGTTTTAACCTGCTGCGCCACCAGGGAGGGCCACTTCTCTATTTTAAATAAGAAATCTGTGGAGTAAGAGAAAATGCAGTGGTCTGTGTTCCAAGATCATCATGTAGCATTTGCTGAGCTTATCAGAGAGATGGTTCTTTCCTCTGACGGCTGCAGAGGTGAAGGTCACTTGGTTTTAGAGATGGAAGTGGTGATGGTGGAAAGGTGTAGGAGACAGGAGAATTCAGTGTCAGATCTGACTCCACTGACTGAATTGTTAGCTTCCCTTGGTAAATATTTAGAAAATGTCCTAGCATGTTTCCCTTTGTTGCTGTGCTTATTTCTTAATCTACAGCCAAGCTATCCAAGTTCTTCCATTTTCAGTGAGCCTTAATTGAATATCAGATCACTAGGGGGTCCCAGTCTTACATCTCACACAGCCTTTTAGGCGGTCCTAGGTAGAAAATGAGTCCTTAGTGGATTCTCTGGCTAAGAGTATGACATTCCCAGACCACCTTCCATTTTTCCATTTCCTCCTTCTGGTAACAGGAAACATTATAAAACCATCTTCTTCCTCAGTGAGGCTTTTTTCGTTTGCCTAATGTTTAATTTCCTCACAATACCTGTGCAGACCTGGCCAAGAGTACAATTACAAGGGCAATTAAAACACAGACATATATCATATTAGCAGTGAAGGCAAAAGCGAGTTTCCTTTCTTCCTCTCATTGGAACGCTATAAATTTAGCAAGTGAAAAGGCACAGGGCTAGGAAAAAATAGACTTTGCTTTGAACTGGGCTCAGATCATCCAGGATATTTATGAAAAGAATAACAGCACCCTGACAGCTAAAGAACAATAATTGCTTTGAATTATAGTCAAGTCAGGAGTTTCCACCATAGTGAAAGGGAACAGAAACTTGGATCATCCTGAAAATGAATAAGTTGAAAATCATTCCCATTTCTACTAGACTTAAATATGGGTGTGTCTTGCTTGAGAATTCATAGCCCTTCAAGTACTTTAAAGGCATAATTCCCTAACCTCATTCTGTCCCTCAGCTCAGTTCCTGCCTGTTTCCAGAAGTCCCTAAGGAATTGTCAGTCAGCTTTACCTGCCAATATGTTTCCTCAGAGATAGTAAAGTAGCAAAGATCTTTCATAACACCCACTTTGGGTCATACATCGGAACGTTGGAGAGACCTGAGAGAGCCACTTGAAAAAAT